CGGGACCGGCACTACCATAAGCACCACGATCGGCACCATGGCACCGGCACCAAGACCATGACCGGCACCACAATATGCACCACGATCAGCACCATGGCACCGGCACCAAGACCGGGACTAGCACCACAGCGCACCAAGACTAGCACCACCAACACTGACCGTGGCACCATGCACCAGCCAAATCTGACCGTGCCAGAGAACTCACCAGGACCAGCACCACCATAGGCACCACGATCAGCACAATGGCACCAGCACCAAGACCAGGACCGGCACCACCATAAGCACCACGATCGGCACCATGGCACCGGCCACGAAGACCGGGACCGGCACCACAATAAGCACCACGATCAGCACCATGGCACCGGCACCAAGACGGGACTAGCACCACAGCGCACCAAGACTAGCACCACCAACAACGGCCAGTGGCACCATGCACCGGCCAAATCGGCTAGGTGCCGAGAGAACTCACCAGGACCGGCACCACCATAGGCACCACGATCGGCACAATGGCACCGGCACCAAGACCGGGACCAACACCACCATAAGCACCACGATCGGCACCATGGCACCGGCACCAAGAGTAGGACCGGCACCATAATAAGCACCACGATCGGCACCATGGCAGCGGCACCAAGACCGGGACTAGCACCACGGCGCACCAAGACTAGCACCACCAACACGGCCAGTGGCACCATGCACCGACCAAATCGGCAGGTGCCGGAGAACTCACCAGGACCGGCACCACCATAGGCACCACGATCGGCACAATGGCACCAGCACCAAGACCGGGACCACCACCACCATAAGCACCACGATCAGCACCATGGCACCGGCACCAAGACCAGGACCCGGCACCACAATAAGCACCACGATCGGCACCATGGCACCGGCCACCAAGGCCGGGACTAGCACCACAGCGCACCAAGACTAGCACCACCAACAATAGCCAGTGGCACCATGCACCGGCCAAATCGGCCAGTGCCGGATGAACTCACCGGGACCCGGCACCACCATAGGCACCACGATCGGCACAATGGCACCGACACCAAGAGCCGGGACCAGCACCACCATAAGCACCACGATCGGCACCATGGCACCGGCACCAAGACCATGACCGGCACCACAATATGCACCACGATCGGCACCATGGCACCGGCACCAAGACCGGGACTAGCACCACGGCGCACCAAGACTAGCACCACCAACAGCGACCAGTGGCACCATGCTACCGGCCAAATCGGCCAGTGCCGGAGAACTCACCGGGACCGGCACCACCATAGGCACCACGATCAGCACAATGGCACCGGCACCAAGACCAGGACCAGCACCACCATAAGCACCACGATCGGCACCATGGCACCGGCACGAGGACCGGGACCGGCCACCACAATAAGCACCACGATCGGCACCATGGCACTAGCACCAAGGCCGGGACTAGCACCACGAGCGCACCAAGGCTAGCACCACCAACGCGATCGTGGCACCATGCACCGGCCAAATCGGCCAGTGCCGAGAGAACTCACCGGG